GTCATAACCATTTAATCTGGGTGGAGGAGGTGACCTATTAATTCTACTTCTAAAATATGCATTCCTTGTTTTTTCTAAATGGATGATCAGAATGCAGCAACATATGGTGACAATCAAATTAAGTATTTTTTCCTCTATGTTTTAGTGTGAAAGATTTGATATTCTTCATACAATAAGGGCAAGTGAACTTTCTTGTTGAGCTCCAACCCGATAACAAATCGTAAACTGAAAAATCACTAATAGTCTAAAGTAATGCAGTTTTAAGGAGAAAATTCTATTGGGTTTATATGACATATGTGAGGACATCTTCTTCCCCTAAGAACCTGAGGTCATCAGTAAATGGTTGCAAAAAAATATCAATTTTTGTTTTCAGATTATGTGCTGTAAGTGTTAAGAATATGTATGGGGTAGTCATGGATATCTCTGGTGGAAGATTGCATGATATTAATATGATTGATAAACAAGAATATGATGAAGTTGTCTAATTATATGGAGTAAAATCACCAGCATATAATTTCAATCTTATGTTACGTGGCTCTGTAACAAATAAAGCATGTATTTGATCAAAATGTTTCAAGGCTTAAGCATCTGATGGATGAAAAAAAATACCACTGAGCTAAATTCTCCTGATGATATCTCATTTGACCTGCTAAACTCATTGATGCGTAGATGCGTTGAAGTCTTGAAATAATCAGTAAATAAAATAAACGAGAATATGAAATATCTTTCTTTTGACGATTTTGTTTTCCTGAGTTGGGTTTAAACCGAGGCGTATTGCAGGTATGATAATAAACTTTTGTCCCATCATCCTTTTAGTATAAAATATAATTATTTATATAATAATCAATTTTTATGGCGGTGAGATCCAATTTATATATTAATTTCTTCATTCGATACAAATATGTGGGGATTAAATTATCCGTTGGATTTGTTTCCTTGAGAATATAAATGAAGTCATTGAGGCACTCCCGAGAAATATTATATTCAGTTTTGATACTAAGCATCCTAACAACAACCGATAATTCCTAATGAGTTGTGCAACCATCTCATATTGGTTTTTGAGTAACATGTAGTAATTCAAAAAAAAAAAAAAAGGTTTATGGGTTTGGTGGCTCTTCCATGTTAGCTTTTAAATTTAGACCTCTTGCATAAAAAATAAGTTCCTCATATAATATATTTATTTGATCTTTATTTATTACTGTAGAAGTTGTGGAAAGACCGGCATGAGTATCTCTATGTGATTCTTACTTGCCATGTGAGGTCTAGAACCAATATCCTAAAATAAATCCCCTACGATATAAATCAACTTTAACATCACCGGGCTTTAAAAAATTTGATTTTTTTGCTTGGAGCATGGATATCTGAACATTCCATTAGACTTAAATGAAGATAGTTGACATACGACTTAAATGAAAGTCTCAACTCCCTTAATAAATTTATCTGCCAATCATTTTCATCTCGGTAACACTCTGTTATACATCCAATATCTCTCATTTTGAATAATCATGTGGATGTTGAATTAATAATCCTAAAATTAAAAAAAATATATAAATTCAATACCATAAATTATAAAAATAAAATTAATTATTATAAATATACATCTTTCTCACTTATTAATTAGCCTAAAGTACTATAGGCATCTAGGATATTTTGCCAAGAAAATACATAGTTTACTAATTTGAACCCTTATAACAATCTTAAAAATTTATGTGAAAAGGAATTATGCTTATAAAAGTTCATTGATTGCCTCTAATCATGATAACCACGTGAATACTGAAAATTTTGCCCTAAATCAAATAACAATTTTTTTTAATCTCTAATCATGTAACAATCCATTGCTTGCCTCTAATCATGTACATGAGATTTTAGGGTTATGTTTTATAGCTCTATTGTATACGCATAAAAGGATTTATTTGAAGCTCCTAAATATATACCATATTAAAGGATTTAAAGCATTAATGAACTTACTTTCACTTTAGGGTGATAGTTTTTTCTTTAATATTTCATGGGATATATTGTGATGAGTTGTGACTAATGCCCATTGGAACGTTATATTAAATGCTCGAGTGGGTAAGGATCTAAAATGTTTGCTGCTTTCTCCATCCACCTCATTGCATTCAAATTTCTCCATTTTTTTGGTAATACATGGATATTTACTACTACTCCTATAAATAATTTGTATTTTTTATGCTATAGATAGACATTTGCATGGTTGATAGGCTATGTTTCACCGGTACACCTATTTATGAAGGTGTGTTGTATCCCATACACCAATACACGGATACACCTCCGATACGGCACCGATACATATCGGATATGGCTTTTCCCATATCCAATTAAAATACTATTTAATTTTAAAAGGACACACATATCTGATACGCATGTCAATTGAAAAAAAAAAATCCAAAAAAAAGACCCGCAGTATTTACTTCTGAGGCCGCGAGCGAGGTTCTCTCATTTTCGAGATGGATTTGAGTCTTTTAAGATGATATGGGAATATTAGAAATTGCTAATCTTTCACTTGATGAGCCTTAATTAGAAGCTATGATATTTATTGAAGATGATATATAAGTTCAAAGACAAACCACTGAAGAAACTAGTTTTTTTTACTACTAAATTTAATGACTTACATGTAGTGTATTCAATTTTAGATTAAGGTTTTGACTCTAATAGTAGTAAAAGAACAAAAGATATTAAAGAAAAAAAATTATTGTAATTTTATTGCTTGAAGTTTGTACAAGGATTTGTGGTTTTTATAGACATACCTAAGGGTGTTAAATGAGAAAATTAATATAAAAAATAGGAAAAAGATGGGCTTGCTGCTACGGGGACACACCGATTACAATCCGGGGGCTCCAAGAGAGTTAATCCAAGGGCTAAAACCCCTTAATCCATGTGGTCTATGATCTCCTTCTTTGTTGATTTCGTTATGTCAGTGTGGGGCCGACAGTAGGAGCAGAAGTTTGCTAGTCCAAATGAGGCAGAGGAGCACGTTTCGACACCCTCAGGTAAATCTAGCATGAAGATATTAGTCATGGAAAGCTTGTTAACTAGAAATTCAAATTGTCTTTTGAAGTCCTTTGGTAAGGATATTAGCAATCAAAAGGATCTTTTGACGATATATAGATCATACATATCATACCATCGCCAATTTTTTTCTTGATAAAGTGTTTCAGTTTCTACATGTTTTATTCTAACTTGTAGAATAAGATTAAGCGCTATAACAATTGAAGCTTTGTTATCACAGGAGGTTTTGATAGGCTTTAGAGAATTAATTATTAGTTCTTAAAGAACTCTCTTTATCCGCATCACTCACAAGTAACGAACTCCAACTCTCAATCCTATCAGATATTGGTCACTTTTGATGTAAAATTAAAAAATATATATATCCTTATTTAATTCCAAGCAATAATCACCATATCAAAATTTGAAATTTGCTCAAAAAATATAACGAAGCATTAAATTCTATAATGATCAAGATTCAATCATAAAAGGATTGTTAGATATCACACTTGACAAAACATCAATTACGCATCACTATTTTTAAGTAGATAGAAAGAACAATGATCTAAGTCTCACCCAAACGAAGATCCATATGTCACACTTGTACAAAGAGAGATGCCCTTGAAAGTAATTGTCAAGATTTACGAAGTACTCTAATAATGTACATCCAACAACAAAATATTGATATAGAATAAAAAAATTATTGAACCATTGAATAAATAGTACATGCCGAAGGGTCTAATATTTAACCATAAAAGGCACGAATAATAAATTACTTTTTAAAAATCAATCAAGATTCAATAAAAATACAAAATCTTAGAATTTCTCGAGCAAAAACAGCTCTTGGTTTTTTACTATGGGTGTTGCAGTGTTTGATGGTGCTGGGAAAAATAAAAAAAATTATACGTGTGTTGTGGTGCTAGGCTGTTGAATAAATCAAACAAGGAAAGAGCCAAGTAAGAGCTGCCACTCCGTGCTACAGTCCCGTAAGTGAAGAGCTGCTAAAGGGGCTATAGTTTCGTGTAAAACATAGCTGTTGATTGCTATAGTCCAGGGAAATCAAGTTCTGCAATGGTAAGGCCACTAATTGCTTCATTACTGCGAGCCATGATCGCTGATTTCTACAGTCCTAGAAAAAGGGGGTCATAGAAGGAAGAAGGTTTGTTATGGTCTGGGGGAGTTGCTACAGTATAATTTCCAGCCTCTTTTTTTCAATGAGAGCTTATCCAGACTCCTAAACCTGTATATACCTCATAAGATGTTTCTCAATCGTATCAAGTCAATTTTAAAATCAAGGGAATGCTGGTCATGCTAAACTAGTGTCACTCGTTTCTGTTTTTGCACGTTTGAATCAAAAGCTGGATCCTTGTATAAGTCTTATGGAAGTCCTGGAATACCTTAAACTTCAATTTGAAGCTTTGGAATCTATTTATATAATATTGTCAAGTATCAAGAATGATGTTTTAATTATATGTCAGGTCCTTCATATCTGCTTTTTACTCGTATGCTCAAGATGAGTGCCGTCTGACCTGCCTTGATTTGTAGAATGGTCTAAAGGGTGTCTAACTCGGCAAAAAACATTCTGCCTGTAGTTAGTTGGAACTGTAAATGTTCAGGTGATCTGACCTTCAGTCAGGGTTTAGTTATTCACTTAATTGTTTGCTTACAAAAAAATATCAATACATTTAGTTGAAAATGTTAATTGTTCTAGTTCCATCATAATCTCAGATAGGATTAGCATATTCCCCAAAGGTAGGCGCTGAGAAATAAATTGCTAAGCGTATGCTTAATCCATTTTTGCCTCTAATGGATGTCTTTCCCAATTTGCTTGTAACTTGGATCTTTATGTTATAATGTACTTAGTAAGTTGTATGCTTTTCCTTGTAAATAAATAGCTTCTGGCTACAGTTAAGGATTTGAGCTAAACAAGTTTTGTTTTTCACCTTTTTTTTTGTGGAAAAATCATTGAATTAACGTTAAAATACATTACATGACAGGACTGGGATCGGCAAAATCCAACACAAATAGTCACTGAGATGTGTGGGTTTGTGACAATTCTCTCAGGGACTTTTCTGCTTCACAAAACTAAGGACATGGTTGATGGTACAGTCGAAACTACATAGTACTCTCTGATACCTAATCGTGATCCTTAACACCCAATCATAAATTGTGTGCCTTTTTATTGCAGGTCATGCTTCTCTTTCCCTTCGAATCCCCAAACATGCAAATGAAGATGGTTTTCAGAACGAAGGCATTCCGCTCAGGTTTCAGGAACCTTACCGCTCACCCTAAACTGATTTTTTTTTGTTTACTCTTCCATCTTTACTCAGAATTGTGAATGCCATCAATCTTCATGTTCTTTTAAATTATAACTTGTCAAAAATGACGGCCATTTTTTTATATTCCTGTTCGAGCTGTTTAATCGTCCGTCAGTTGGAAGCTAGGGTATTTAGATTTTACCACAAATCTGTAGGCCTGTACACTGATTAAAAGATGAGTAAAAAACTGGCAGGGGTGAGAATTGTGTTATAAATCAATGCATTTTTTTTTTCAATTGTTTGTGAGGAAAAATGCTTTCTTTTGTATTTTAGGTGTGTTGCTGATGTTTTTGGACAATTAAGCTATTTTTTTTTTCTTAAGCTGCATGAAACCGAGAAGGATAGGAGAGAAGTGCATTAAAAAAACTGTTAAGTTGTTCTGTTGGGTATGCTTAGGATGATTGTAGTGTTTTATAAAGTTCATTGAAAAATTATTGTGACAAAAATAACTAAACCATTCTAGTTGTAAAAAAAAAAAAATTTCACCATAGGAGTATATGAAAAGCAATTATCAAATAAAATTGTGGTTGCTATCTAAAATGTGAAGAAGTGAGAAAGCTCTTTTTGGCATTCTCTTAATCTTGTGATTGGTTGTAACTTAGGCTTCGTTTGGGACGACTTTCTTACTATTTTTTAAAGTGATTTTTTAGCTAAAAAGTAAAAATTTTAGACTAGAAAGCTGCTTTAAAAAGTAGTAAGAAAGTCTCTCAAATGAAGCTTAAATATTAAGCGTTGTTAAGGGTTTCTGCATAGGGGTGTTGTTTTTTTGAGACATTTATATCAATTAAGATAAATTTACACATTGCATTAAATTCTCATATTTAATTAATGACTAAATTAGGTTCGATCTGTATTGCATTAAATTTAATTAATGACTAAAAAAGAAAAGCCATAATCATTATTGATTGTTTTTGTAAATGGCGTTATATTTTCTTAAATAACATGATATAGAATTATATAGAAGAACACTTAGTAAATTGACCACAAACAATATTGAATCAATTGTATTATATTCTATATATAATACTGTCTTTTTAATAATTTTATTATTTATTTAATTATCCTTTTTAAATAAATATGAAATTAATAGACTCTTGGGCTATGTATGGGTTCAAGGCCACCTTAATAAATAACTGGAATAATTAGTAGCTGCATGAGAAACAAGTTATAAATCCTAAAAGAAAATAACATTATAGGGTGTCGTAAAAATTTGTGATATTGAAGCATTAGGATTGATAATAATATATTATAAAATCAGTAAAATGAAAGAAAAAAAGTAGTATATTAAAGAAAGATATCGATTGATATTTACATGATTCAAATCTTATGAAATCTAAGTTCATATTAGAGTGGAGAAGATTTGATCTTTTAAAAAAGAAAATATAATTATGATGTGCAAAGCTAAAGCACTCTTATTTTAATTCATGAGTACACATGCACAAAAATAATAATAATAATAATAATAATCAAGAACCTTACGCCTTGAAATTCTCACAAAAAAAATCTATATATCCTCTTATATGCATTATAAACGTTGCAAATCTCATAAAGAATCATAGAATCAATAGTGTAAGAAATCAAGAGAGATCAATTTGATGCTCTCTTCAAATCCTAGTCAAGGATCCAATCTTATAGCCATCCACGCTTCTTGTTCTATTCTTGAGAATAAAAATAATGGTGTGTAGACTCAGGGGCAGAACCAGTTTTAATTTTGAGGGGGGAAAGTACAATATATATATATATATATAAGTTATTTAAAAAAATTAACCAAAAAAAATAAAGAAAAAAAAAGTGTAATTAAATTGCCATGGAAAACATGAAAGAAAAAATTATAACTAAATTTGAAGAAATGTATAGACATTTTAGGACAAGTTAGGACAAAAAAGTTTTTTAAGGGGGGCAAAAGTAATTTTTTAGGAGGGGCAAAAAATTTTTTTAAATTTTTTCCCTCCTATAAAAAATAATTTTTTTTTTGAGGGGAAGGCAATTGCCCCCCCTAACCTTAATGTGGTTATGCCACTGTGTAGACTACATATTAGTTTTGACTGCATGCATCCCAAAACCATCATAATAATAGGTGATTTTTTTTAAGGTCTTTGATCTCACATGGGATTTATCTTGTTGTGCATCCAATTTTCATTAGGTTAAATAAGGAATAAATATATCAACTGCAATCTATTTAAGGAAGAGTGCAATGCAAGTCCAACCAAATTGAGTAGAATATAATAATTCTCTTTGTGTTCAAATTGGATCTTCTAGTTTTCTCTTTTCTAAACCAAGTATTATAAGCTTCCATATCATCAAGGGCTGAACAACTCACAATCTTATAAGACCTGAATTTTGTTTGAATTGAATGTTTATAGGAGATCTCTATGGTGTAATTATAATAAATTAAAGTTGTACTGTTAAATTTGAATGTGTACTATTTTTATGGCCTTGATGTTCTTTCTTTCTTTTCTTTTTTTTTTTTACCATGAAAGTTGTATTGGTATGATCAAACATTTGGATAAATTGTAAATCACAAACATGATTTGCCGACTTATATGGTGTCTTTCCATCATCTTATGCTCAAACTTGTTTAATAAAATTTTCTTATGCATTCTCATATGTAAAGCTCTAACATATGAGAAGAATTATATAAAATAGGATTTGAAGTTATAACATGCAACATATATTTTTTTTCTAATTTTTGTGTTGTCATTACAACAAAAGAATATGAACATCAATTAATAAAATATATCAATTACAGAATACAAAGACAAATCTTTAATCTTAAATTAGATACATATCAACTCCACATATTGTGTGACATAATAAAATATATTGACTTAGGCCTCGTTCAGTTGCAAAAAGAGTTTTGGTGAAAAACGGTGGTTCCAAAACTACCTTTTACCAATGGAGAAGAAAAAATAAAAAAGCTTCGTAAATCAGTACGATAATGGAGGCTTGAAAAACACGGTTTTGTAAAAGGTATGCATCCAAACAACAATCAACATCTTTTTCACGTTTCAGAACGGAAACGACACTAATAGTGCCAACCCAAACCGAGCCTTAAGCACCCACTAATCATGTTGCCTATAACTCATAACCATAAAAGAATATCTCCATAATTTATATAAACTTTTTTTTTTATGGGTTGTTCTTTATCTCCTAATGATTGTCACTTACTTATTGCTTGATATTTTGCAATGGCATTCAAATATATCTTGAAGTGCTCTTTTCTTTTATTTATTTTTTTAAAATAGAAACATAGTATTATAAAGTGGCTTATAGGAGAGAGTGCTAGAGTAATGATAATAAAGTGATCATCACCATCCATAGCATCATTAATATTTATTAAATCATAAATAATTGAATTAAATTGATTCATTAACTTAGCTTACAAATCTTCATGCATGTAAACCAAACAAAACTTTTGCTTTAAATAAATTTTATTTGAGGAAAGATCATATGAAATAACTTTAGATTCAACCATAAGCCATTTAATGTAGATTCCTCCAAAACTATATCCAAAATCTTATTTTTAAAATATGAATAGATCATCGCAATTTCATTTTCATCCATCAATCTTTTTCATCTTCATTGCCATTATTGACGTCTTTGAATGTATGCGTTCCCTTTGTTGTACTAGAAAATCACACATCCTAATTCTTTGGAAGTTAAAACTCTTTAACCCATTAAATTTTTTTTAATGGTGAAAAACAGTGGTTCCAAAACTACCTTTTACCAATGGAGAAGAAAAAATAAAAAGCTTTGTAAATCAGTACGATAATGGAGGCTTGAAAAACATGATTTTTTAAAAGGTATGCATCCAAACAACAACCAACATCTTTTTTCACGTTTTAGAATGGAAACGACACTAATAGCGCCCAACCAAATCGAGCCATAAGCACCCACTAATCATGGTGCCTATTACTCATAACCATAAAAGAATATCTCTAGTCACACAATGATCAACCAAATAAATCACATGGTTGAAACCTAGTGAGAGAAACTCTGAGAAACGGTTTGAATTTTTCATGGAAATTCAAATTTCTTTCGTCATGGGAGTTGTAAAAATCGCATGGCGACCGATACTCGCCGGCAACAACCTGCCGACGGGAACCTAGAGGATCGTCGTCTAGTTCAGAAGGCTTTGAATGTTCCATCCCGTCTGATGCTCTCGTCGTCGGCGTTCAGTGATGATGTAGCTACAGCCAATCTGATGGCTAAATCTAACGGTAATAAAGGAATGTCATTAAAGAAGGAAGATTCATAGCTAGAAGAGAACCACAGGTGATTGGGAAAGGAAAGAGCATTATGGTTGAAGAGAATGCCAAGAAGGTTTTCAAAGGTTGTTTTGCATTGACACCTTCTGAAGGTTCTGATGCATCTCTGTCTTCTAAATCTAGTATTGATAACGACACCTTATTGATTGGAAAGCTAGATGGAATGGAAAAGAAAAGGCATGATCTGCGCTCAATGGATAATTCTTGTCCAGCAAATACATGAACCCTGGGAGAAAATGATAATGCAGTGAAACAACAGGAGATTGCGGAGCAAGCAAAAATTCTATTCTCTGACTTGGTGAAAGTTAGGGTTGTTGAATCAGCCGACAAGGGTGACTGTGGAGAAGATGTGTCAAGCCCTGTTAGAAATTGTAATGGAGAACAAATGAATGTGTGGAGGAAAAAAGATAACATCAAAGTTGCAGATTTACAACCGGGTAACTTCCTAGCTGAAGACTGAGTGACTGTGAAATTGCATGAGCAAAACAAAAAGGAGAATGCAGATAAGCTTAGCAACTCAGTTGTCATAAAGGTATTTGGAGGAGATCCCCCATTATGGGTCATAAGCTCAGAACTCAGAAGACAATGGATGTAATATGTGAAGTTTCATCTAACCATGTTAGGCATGGGATGTGTGCTTTGCTCATTTCATGATTCAGAATAATTGGAAGCTGTTATGAATAATGGACCATGGTTTGTCAATGGGAAGATAATTGGGATGGACAAGTGGTCTCAAACCTTTTCTCCTCATTCTCTAAAAGGCTTGACAGCTCCGATTTGGATCAGGCTTCCAAATCTAGCTCTTCATTGTTGGGATAATATTAATATTTGTAGAATTGCTTCAATGGTTGGTAAACCATATTTGATAGATGGAAACATGTTCCAATGGGGAAGAAGATAATTTGGGAGGGTATGTGTCCGAATCAATCTGGATAGCAAGCTTCCCTTAGGTGTTTGGATTGAAGGAA